GAAAATTAAGTTTCAGTTTCCAGAGTTAATGTGCTGCTGAGGTCTGTAGGCTCAGCAGGCAAAACCTGAAATGTCCTATCTTATTAATGATAGAGCACCACTGCCTGAAGCTCCTTCAAATAATACTCACGCTCAAGTCAGCAAGAAGAGATGGACCACACTGTTAAAAATATAGAGTGGAAGTCCTTTAGCTTTAATGCTATAGTAGCAAAAGGAAAAAAATAAAAGCACATGTTGGTCATCAACATAACTAGAATCTCAGGCCTTCTTTGAAAACGAGGTTGTCAAACCCCCCTTTCTTTGAAAAAATCACAGCTGCACCCCTAATGATGAGATGGGGTGGGGGCAGTAAATGGAAGGAGGGCAGTAGCTTCTTTTTCAAAGTAATGTGGAGTTGCACTGGACATTTAAAAGATGCTCTGGAAAAGGGCTCCCCTCCCACCTCCTGTGTATTTAACCCCTGGTTTGCTGCCCTCTGCATTCAGCAGCACAGCAGAGAGCAGCCGGCAGCCTATCAGCTCCACCTGTGGCCACCAGCTCCTCCTGTGGCCACTGCCCGTGTGGACGAGTGACACAGCCCGTTCTGCATCCCCAGGCTCCACAGCTGAAATGAAGGGAACCCTGGGCATACAGTGCAATCAGCTCATGCTTCAACCAGGATGCAGCTGGTGAGGAGCAGCATCCCTCTGCTCCATGGCACTCTGCTGGGAGTGTGTGTGTCTGCTGGTGGGCAATCCCTCCACTCAACAGGAGTCATAGCACACCACTGTATCTGACACAGGCAAGCTGAGAAAAACCAACAAATAATAAGGCCCCAAGAAGCTGAGAGGATCGGGGATAAAAAATCAAAACTACTCATTCAATAAATTTGAAAATCTCCTAATGATCACATCAAACCATTTAAAATCAAACCCTATTTCGACACCTATACCATTATATCCATTTCTACCAGTTTAAGACTCTGACACCATTTCTTTCAGACTATAAAATAAAACAAACATGCAAGCCTTAGTCCTAACCAATGATTAGTAAAGGCCCAATTTTCCAAACTTTTAAAGTAATTTTAAGTGCTCCAGTGATTAAGAGAGATATCACAACTCTGATGGGCAATAGCAGAAACCTTAGAGTTCCTTCTTAACACAAAGCTCTTGAAAAAAAACCAGTTTATTTTTACACAGTATTTATCGATTTATTGCAATGTATCAGAAAGTTCTGAATGGCCTGACCAGCTTTACACGCTTTGCTGAATTTTGAAATGAAAGCAAGAGAACATTTGCTTAAGTCAACAACATAAGTCACCAGTTTAAAGGTTAACACTTGATTGTGCAGCACAAGAAACAGACGCTTTATCTTCCCAGTTCAAGGACTCCTGGATTTCTGAGCAGTGGAACTGCAAGGGGCCAGGCTGCAGCACCCTCTGGGACACACACAGAGCAGGGTGCAGAACAGAGAGTCACTGGGGCACAGAGCAGCTCGGGCCCAGCTGTCCCCACACACTGGCATGCCAGCAGCCAGCTGGGAGACACCGCTGGGCCATCACCCCTCCTGTCCTGGCAGCAACTCTCTGACACACAGAACACTGGCACTGACACCAGCACGGCTGTGATTCATGTGGGGCAGCTGCTCTAAAGCTTCCAGAGCTCCTCTTCCAGCCAGGAGACACCAAAGCCAAGCCCAGCACCCTCACCAAGGTCCCATTCAACCAACAGAAAACCACAGGGAAAATGGAAGTACTGCACTGTTGCGAGTACAGCTGTCCCAGATAAGGGAAATACAGAAAATAAATAAGGTCCTTATCTACCGTGGCAAGGAAAAGGCAGGCTCAGGGAAATGGGCGGGTGAGTGAGAGAAGCAAAAACTGTACCTAGAGAAGAAAATCTGAAATTAAATGAGGTGTGCACTCCTTATATAGGCAGTTTTAGTGTGAAAATTAATCTCAAAATCCCAAAAGTGAGTTAAGACATCAGCTTAGACACCGGTCAAACCAACAGCCACTCTCTGTTCCTCCAAAACACTGGCACGGGCCTGTTCCTTGCAGCCAAAGCATCTGTACCAGGGATGCCTGGGGAAGGACCCATCAGAGCTCAGTGCCACTGTGCAGACAGCAACAAAAAGAAGTTTCATCAGAAATCAGTCTGGGAATCAGAGGGAGCAATTCTGAGCCAAAATGTCAGACTGGAGCCATTAAAAAAAAGGTGATTGCTGTAGCTGGGCTGTGTTGTCATACATTGCTTACGTTTGTTTTAATTTTAAACTAAGTGTCAGTCCAAGGTTTGTTACACAAACATATGGCACTGGTATTACATTCTATCTTGTATTTATAGAAAGTGCTGTGGCGGCCCAGGCAGCGCAGAAATGCCATAATGTTAACAACATTTATTATTAGTATGACAAAAGAACAAAAAGAAGCCGGTAGAAATCATGACTTAAAAGTTTAAGGGACTGATTGGAATAGGGTGCCAAACTGTGGAGATATTAGCTAAAATTCTTCCAGTATTAATACTCACACAGTCCCCAGGCTGCCAAGTATTTAGTTATATAAATACAGCCTCGAAAAGGTAATTTGTTTAAAACCCAAGCCCTGAAAACTGATTAGCACATTTAATGCTAGCCCGATTAACACAGATATGCCCTCAGCTGGGTGATGGGAGCATTGAGGCAGAAGTCCGCATTCCTGTGAGTGAAGAGGAACAAAGCTTTTGGGACAAAGGGTAAACCTTAATTATGGCTTTTTATTACCCAAACTGCCATTTCCTCCTTACCCCAAACAAGGCAGGAAGGCTAATGGCACATTCACATAGCCCCATAAGCGATGTGATTGATAAATGCCACTGCTAGATTTTTCCACTCCAGCTGTTACACTAGAAGCAGCAGAGGCTTGATTCTCTCTTAAAAATAATAATTAAAAAAAACCCCAAAAAATTAAAAAAAAAAAAAAAAAGGAAAGAGAAAAAACCAAAGCAAAGCAGGATACAGTACACCGCTGACATTCCCGAACCTTCTGGAAGCGTTTATTAACTTTGGCCAGGGACCAGCGAGGGCTGCAGGAGCGGCAGTGCAAACTGGTTAATCTGTAGCTAGACATATCTGTGATTGGGGGTGGTGGTGTTCAGCAAGAAACACTCCTGCCTGGCAGCCAGGGCTTCAGCACTTTGAAGGGTTACTGGGGTTGTTGATTTTTTTTTTTTCCAAAAAATTTTATTGGGAGAACTACAAAACATTTACAGTACAAAGTTTACAGTCTCACATAATCTGTAGTGAACTGACTCCCAAAAAATATATTACAACTCAAGTTGACTTATCCTTTAGTTACATTCAAAACATACTTCTGTTAAAGTAGTCCAAAAGAGTACATAGTGCTCAATCTGTACCTATGTACAAACAAAACTAAGCTACTGCTCATTCATCCACCGTCCAGGAAACTTTTGGAAAACTCCCAACTTTCTACATAAGGAAAAAAAAAAATTACAGGTTTTGGAATTCAATAAACAAGATATGTTCCTGTATTATAGAAAGTGTCAGATCCAAAGATGGCCTCTGTTCTTATAAAATAGAGTGGCGAAATTTTGCTGTACTTAAAACCCATCCCTACATTCAAATTATCTCAAGCATTAGGAAAAATACTTATTTGGTTGAGAGATATTTAAGGCAAGCGTGGACCCTCAAGAAGGCACTGTGAGACATAATACTGGGACCCCCAATTATTGCTACATACTTTGAGACTATATCACAGTGTGATTCGTGGAGTTAGGCAACAAAATACTTTTTGGTTATTTTTAACAAGTCTGAATTAGATTTGCCACTTTGAAGTCTGATTGCTAAGTCAGTCTTTTTTTTCTTTTTTTTTTTTTCTCTCATTTTTCAACTCGGACGGGCTACAACCATTTACATTCTAAAAAAAAAACCCATAGAAATTCCGCAAACTACTTCCACAGCATCGAGACCGATTTCTATAAAGAAACCATGCAATCTTTCAGATTTACGTAAACAAAGAAAGAAATTAATGAAATAAATATTACATACCATCTCTTAAATTAAGAATTTTACTCATTTACAATAAAATAACCAAGTGAAAGTTACAAAAAGGCATATATTACTGTGAAAAGAACACACTCCACATTTTGCCGATTAATAATGAAAATCATAATTTAACATAATAAAAGAATATATATCTATTGCTTTTCATCATACCCGATAAATACAGTATGAACAAATTACCAATGTATACTTTTCACAAGATAATAAATAAGTTAAATAGTTTCATATTGAGTTGTGTGCAGTGACTCATACATGCAATCAACTCAAACAGCTAAAAAAAAATTTAAAAAATCAGCAGTTATTCTCCAACAATTACAAACTAAACTCAGTTGAGTGCTTCCAAATAAAGCAACAACAAAAAATTGTTCTAAAAGCCAAACATCCACTAAGTGGTGGCAATGGAACCAATATTAAACTTTGGAATGAAGGTTTTAGCATTTGTTATAATAATAATATATAGATATATATAAAAAAGAAGGTTGTTATCAAGGCATATTCTTGGCAGGATGTTGGATTTTTCTTTTTTTTTTTTTTTCCTAAAAAAAAAGCTTATAGGTTTAGTATGTTCTGTGTTTTTATTTGAACTGGATTGAAAGAAACTAGTTTGTAACTTTTTTTCTGTGTGTCTGCAGGATTGGAGGAGCTAGGCTGGCGAACCGGCACTCCCCGGATTGTTTGTTGCTTTCTGGTGCTGTCTTTTCTAATGCTGTTTTGTTTGTTTCTTTTTTTTTTTCGAACACAGATGGAATGGCTGCTGCTGGTGCGTATCATAACTTGTCTCCAAAGAACGACAACAAAAAAAAACCCCGAAACAAAAATCCCCTTCTTCCAAGGTCTCTCTATAAAAATAGGTTTGTTCAGTTCGTGTCATTTGCCCTTTTGCAAAATGCTTTGTTTCTCGTTTTGTTCAGCTCTCGGTGTATAGATAGATAGATATATAAAATAAAACCAACCAAAAATAGAGAGGAAGGAGAGGTTTCGCTTTCTTCGTTCGGTAACTTGCTTGCAGGGCCGCCGCGGGGCCCCCCCGGCCGCTGCCCCGTGCTCCCTCAGTCGTCGGAGATGGAGAGGCGGCTGAAGATGGGCAGGCGGCGGCCCGAGTCCAGGCTGGGCGACTCGGAGCCGCTGAGGGAGCCGGAGCTGAGGGAGCCGCTCAGGTAACTCTCCCGGTCGGAGAGCGAGTCCGGCGGGCTGGGCGGCGCGTCGAAGACGGGCGACTCGGAGAGGCGGCGGAGGGGCTGGAAGCTGAAGGGCGGCGAGGCGGGGGGCGGCGGGCAGGCCCCGCCGGGCGGCGGCGGCTGCTGCTGGCAGCGGTAATAGGCGGCGGCGGCCGCGGCCGCGGCGGCGGCAGCGGCGAAGTTCTGGGTGTGCAGGGCGAGGGGGGCGATGAGGCTGCCCAGCTCCTGCCCCGAGAAGGCGAAAGCGTTGTTGGCGCAGGGCGGCGAGAGCAGCTCCTCGCAGTAGGAGGCGGAGGCGGGCGGCGGCGGCGTGCGCGAACCGCCGGGGCTCTCCAGCAGGGCGGCGTCCAGGCGGCCACCGGGCGGCGGCGGCGGCGGGGCGGTGCCGTGGGGGTGCGGGGGGTGATGGTGGTGGTGGTGGGCGGAGAAGCCGGAGAAGCTCAGGCTGTGGTGCAGCTTGGGCCGCTCGCCGCCGCGCGGGTGCCCGAAGCCGCCGCCGCCCAGCGGGTGCTCGCGGGGCGCGAAGGCGCGGAGGTCGCCGGTGCTGCCGGCGGGGTGCGGGGCCGCGTGGTGCGGGTGGTGGTGCGGCCCGGCCGCGGCGGCGGGCGGGGGGGCGGCCGTGCCCCCGCCGGGCGCCGGGCGGCGCTCGTCGGCGTTGTGGATGAAGTGGCAGCGCGGGCCGTAGGGGCAGAAGCCGATGGTGTGGAAGGTGCGGCAGAGCTCGGTCTTGTACTTGGGGTGGCGGGTGAGGCTGCGCAGCTCGTGGAAGCCGTGAGCGAACTGGCACTTCTCGCCGTACTTGCAGGCGCCGCTCTCCTCGAAGGGGCGGCACAGCTCCGTCTTGTAGCGCGTTGAGTTGATGGGGGCCCCGCCGCCGCCGCCGGAGCCGCTCCCCTTGCCGGCCGCCTGCTGCTGCTGCTGAAGCTGCTGCATGAGGTGCTGGCTGCGCTCGCCGTTCTCGCTGAAGGAGCGGTCCCGGAACTTGTTCTCCTTGTTGAGCAGGGCCGTGGGGCTGCTGCTGCCGCCGCCTCCGCCGGAGCCCGTCTCCTTCAGATTGCCGAACGAGGAGGAGGAGGAGGAGGAGGACGACGAGGAGGATGTGGAAGAAGAGCTGGAGCCGGTAGGGCTGGGGAACTTGGAGCCGCCGGCCAGCGCCGTCAGGTTGCTGGTCGAGTGCCGCCGCAGGAAGCCCGGCGCGAAGCTGGAGCTGGGAGGGGTCACCGGGGTCCCCACGGCTTTCTTGTCCAGCATGCTGCTGAGGTTGGTCAGGGACTTCTCCGTCTGCCGGGGCGGGGAGAGGGGAGGGGGTGGGGGAGACAGCGGGAGAGAGAGAGGGTGTTGCGGGTGACCGCCTGCCCACGGCCACGGCTCCCCATCGCCGCGGGAGTCGAGGCAGGGGTCGCGCCTCCCGGCCGCCCCGCAAAGCGGGTCTGCCGCTAGCGCCAGCGGGGCAGCACAGCGCCGGGAGAAGCCCCTGCGCCAGCTCTGCTGCATTTGCAACTTTTTTCAAAAGTTCCTCCTAGCAGCGCAACATGCGGACAGGGGCTGCAGGACCAGCCCGCCCCGAACGCGGCCGCCGGGAGGCCATGGGGCGGCATTCCGGGGCTCGCAGCCATGCGTCAGCCGCTGTCCCCGGCCGGCTGTCAGACCGTGACCCGCCCGCAGAGCCCGGCCCGGCACGGCACGGGCCTCCCGCCCCGCCGCGCTGCCCCGGTAGCCCGGAGCGCCGCTCTGCACATGGCGGCAGCGGCAGACTGCGTCCCGCCCAGCCAAACGCGCTCTCCCCTACCTTGCACAAGAAGTCAATGTCGTAGAAGGCAGATAAAAGTGTCGTCGACATTTCTAGATCCTGTAATGGTCGGATATACAGGAAGGACCGAAAGATCCCGCTCTCCTCGGAGGGTTTGGAAAAGCCACGACTAAATAGGAGAGGGCCGTCTGCTTGAGATCCGAAACGGTCCCGACTCCTTCCCGGCGGGACGGCGGGTGCCGGGCCGAGGCGGCGACGGCGGCTGCACAGCAGCGGGCGAACTGCGGGAACTCGGCGGCTCCCCGCGCGGCTCCCATATAAACGCGGCCGCCGCTGGTCGCGGGGGCGGTGCCACGCTCCGCCCGCCCCGCTCCAGCCCGCCGGGCCCGCCCCGCTCCACCCCGCCGGCCGGGCCGCCCCGGTTCTCACAGAGGGCGCTGGCAGCGGCGGCGGGGCCGGTTTGTGGTGAGCGCCCGAGTTGCAGTGTGCCCGCAGCGCGGGCGGTACGAAGTGGGGGGAGCGGGGAACCAGCCGAGGTAGCGCTCACGGCGCCCTACGGCCTCGGCCCCTCGGAGCGCCCCTCTTCTCCCCGACGTCCCCGCTGCCCGCGCACGGCGGCCGCGTCCCCGGCCGGGTGGCGGCTCCGCCGAGGGCAGGACGCGCGGGGCCGCGGGAGAGGCGCGGCAGCACCAGGGACACTTCATCCCCGCGCCCCGCCGAAAATAAACTTTTGCCACGTAATTGCTTGAAACAAAGGTCGGAACCGCGCTGCCCCGGTGCAGTCGGCGGGACAGGGCCGGACGCGGGTTGCGCGCCCCGCCGCTTCTTCCCTCTTTTCGGGGACCTCGGGTTTGGCGCTTACTTTCTTTCTGAAGTTTGGGAGAGGTTGGCGGCCAGGCGCGGAGGCGAGGTGGCATTATCCTCGCAGCGGCCTGATAAACTACCCCCACCTAACCCTGTGCATCTCCTTCCCGCGCCCCGCACCCCTCCCACGTCTCTTTTCCACGTTGGGCCCCTTCCTTCCTCATGCCCGCCAAGGTCCTGTGAGACCCATCCGAGTCCCCCGGCCGCCGCTCCAGGTGCCCCCCCACCGCCGCTCCCCGCGGCGAGGCGCCCTCCCGGGACCGAGCCGGCCGCCGGCCAAGGCGGGCCGGGATCCGCCGTGCAAAACACCCCCGCCCCCCCCGCGCCGATAAGGCCGCGCAAACACGACGTGGGAACGGCGGCGGCGGCGGCTCCCCTGCACCCCCCGTCCCCTCCCGTGTTTGCTCGGCCCCGGGACAAATGGGAAGGAGAACAGAGGCGGACGGACGTGTAAAGTTTTATGGCTGCTAAAGCCAGCAGAGGCGTTTGATCCTCTTTAGCTTCCGAGCCGGGATGGCAGTCCCGCGCACTCCAAGGGAGCAAACCCGACCACGTCAGCAGGAGCGCGGCGCTGTGCAAACACATTTGCAGAGGAAAAGAAGCTCGGCCTGGGGGCGGGGGTGTCACCAGAGCCCCTCGCCACGGGATTGGCACTCGCCCCCCGCTGCCCAGCGGCTCACGCGCTCCTCTGCTTCCTGCCCTCGTCCTCCACGTCCCGCGGCGCTGCGGGAGGGAGGCTGCGGCGGGACCCCGCCCGGACCCCGCACCGCCCGGGAGCCGTCACCCACGGCCGGCCGAGCGCGGAAACCGGGGTCGGAATCTCCCGGGAAAGACGAGGAGCTGGGCAGCGGAAAGCCCAAACCTCGCTCCCTTCCGCGTCCCGGCAGTCCCCCGGGGCCCGTCCCCCGCTCGGCGAGCGCTGCTGGGCTCGGCCGGGCAGGCTCCTGGCCCCGCTCCCGGCCCCGCTGCCCGCCGGCCGGCGGGGACGTGCCGCCCCCCAGCGGCCGCCGGCTCCTCCGCCGGCGGTGCGGGTACACATCCCACGTTCCTACTCCTTCCCCTCCTCCCGCCCTGCCGCGGCCACGGCTCCCGTCCCGGCAACAGGCGCTGCCCCGCACACGGGGAGCCGCCGGAACGCGGGGCTGCAGCCATAACGCGTATCGCTTCCCATAACCTTCTCCGGGGCCGGTCGGAGTCGCCTCCGTACTGACCCGAGTTCAAACTCTTCCTCCTCCTCCCACACAACTCTGAGATGGAAACATCACCTCGGAGCTGATCCTGCCCGCCAGACAACCGAGGGAACAGTTTACTGTGACAATCATGCACGGATCAATGTGTCAACGCCATTGGGAGGAATACTTTGATAAACTGACTTTGATCAAACACACGGCCGATAAGTGCTCTGGCATCAGGTTTTGCTAACTCTCCCCTGCAATTGCTCCTCGGGGTCTAAAGGTTCTTCATTGAGTAGTTACACAGTAACCCATCATCAGCACCGTGTGGTGAAATGTATGTGCACTGATATAACTCTTATTTGCTCTCTTATAAACTCAAGCGGGATGTCAGAGGTTCCAGTTGTGTCTTAAAACCACAATAAGGAAGAGCAAGTTTTCGAGCTATTTGGTAACTGATTAACCAAGTCCTCAAGGCTTCACAGAGTTTTACGGTCACTGTGGGTCTATAACTGTGCAGTCACCTGGCTGCATTTATCGATTTGCCAGTATCAAATATATATGCATATGCATTTTAAATTCTACCCAATTAAAAAAGAAGCCCAATGTTACTAGATAGTCTTATGCTACCCACTGACATGAGCAAAGTGTCAGAACCTTACAGTGATTTTGATACATACTAAGTTCTTTTTGTCTCCTACTACAGAAGCTGTTGCCACACTAGTTCAGAAATTATGGAAAGATGTGGCAGAATCAGCAGCTGTTAATTAATTGTACAGGTCTTGACTATTTTTTAAGAGTGGCTTCCAGACACAATCTGGGCTATTCTTTCCCCAGGAGCTCAAACCAGATGCATACAAATTAATTTTTAGCCTAACTCACAGCATGGCTCGTTAAGTTGGATAGCGAGCATTCTGTGAAACATCGTTTCAGATTCCAGCATTTCTCTTTTGCCTATTGAAGCCTCAAGATTCACCATAAATTACTTCTTATATAAGTAACCCTGAATTCTGGAAACTTAGAACAAATACTACACTTTTATTCCTAAGTTCTATTTGTTGGGGTTTTTTTAAGTGGTGACTTTGTGCAGTGTTCAGCTGTCCACTGGACCCAACTCGGCAGCTTAGCTCTACTTAGAGCAGAGTATCTAAACTCAAAAGAGCAGCGATCGGCTGCGGGGCACCGCAGCGCCCAGCACTGCGAGCAGCGCCGCCCAAGCCTTACCCTGCCCTAACTGAGCCCGAGCCCGCACTCCGGGAGCCCGATCCCGATCCCGGATCCCGTCCCAGCGGGAGCGCGGGCCCGGCCCGTGCGCGGCGGTGCTGTGGCGCCACCTGGCGGCCGCGCGGCGCACCGGCCGAGCCGGGCCCGGCCGCGGGAGAAGCGCTGGGGCAGTACCTGGGCGGCACCGAGATTTGGGGTTAAACTGCGCTCAGCACCATCAGGTGAAGAGGCTGAAAGCAACCAGGCGTTCATCGGACATGTTCTTCTTCCAAGGACACCGAAATGACGGCGTACAGGGCCGCACATCCATGTTGTGGCAGGCCCAGCCACACATCTGGTCACAGCCCTTGGCTATGGGAAGGTAACATAACCATTGCACATCACTATTGATTTATTTTTGATGTCTCATTTTCATATCAAAACCCAATTCCAGCTCGCAGAAAGAAACCATTCAGTGCACAACAAGCTTTTTTGTGCTTTAGACACAGAAAGGCCATGGAGCACTCAGAACAGTCCCTACAGCTGCCTTAGCTGGTGAGAGCATCTCCAGCATCTCCCAGAAGCGAGGGCTGTGGCACAGAAACACCTCTGGAACCCTTCCCCACTCCTCGGCAGGACCTCGCTTTCCAGGCCTGCTTGCAGAGCAAGGTGTCTGAAGCAAAGATGGAACTGTTTCGTTTGCAATGGAACAGCTGCTTCGTTTTGAACACAGCAAGTCTTCATTTTAGAGCCATTTTATGAAAGTAGTTATTTGATTTAAAGGAGAAAAGAGGCATGCAGAAATCTAACTAGTGCTGTTTCAATGTGCAAAACAAGGTTACTACCAAAGTGAAAATCCCTGTCTTCCTCCAGAGGAAAATGCAGTAAAATCTAAAATATACTCTAAAAATTGCCATAAACAAAGAAGTCACAGTTTGTTTTTCTATTAGAAACACTTAAAGGTTTTTAAAAAGCATATTAATTTCATAAGTCACAAGCTACATCTTGAAATGAGACAAAAAAAATAAACTTTTTCTCAGTATTAAAATACAGGAGGTAAAAATGTGGAACAAAACATAACAGAACTACAGGTGGCCTGCACCTGGATGAATGGAAAATATTAAGTTTAGCTGCTTTACTTCCTAAGTAGCTGTAATAAACAATGCTCAGCTGAATGAAATTAGCAAATGCATTTAAAAGGAAAAGTCTTCCACTGCACATCCCATTAAAAAAAAATCAATGCACAATTAATTAATACAAAAAATGTAGTTCTAGCCTGAATACTGAAGGTACTGCAGGTTTCCTGAAGTCATCACAGCAATCCCTGATTCCTTGAACATTGCTGGAATACAGTCTCCCTGCCCATCCAGTAATGTGTGCAGCTCCCTGAGGATGAAGTTTTAGTAATTTACTTTTCCAGATTTTCATTTTTGCAAGTGTCATCAGGCTTCAACAGATTTAATATTTTAAGACAGACTGATATTCTCTCCTTTTGAATAGCCAATCTTGTGAATTCTGGAGTTCTGGAAAACTCTGGAACTGGAGGTAGAGCTCCAAGAAGGTGTTCAATGTGCTGGGCTTGGTCCAGTGCTATTCTTGATAGATGATTAAGTTCCCCATGATCTGGTAAGGTGAGGTGAGTCACTGATACAAGATGTAAAAGGTGCTTACTCAGTTGTCTCACATGAGTCAGCTTCTCTGCCCAAAAATTCACTTCTCCTTTATCAAACAGGGAATCATCTTCTTCCTTAACAAAAAGAAAACCAACAATGATTAGAAAATGACTCGTGGTTTGATAACAACAAGAAAATCATAAAAGATATGGAAAAGGATATATATAGAAATAATGACTGAGGCTGTCATAGAACAGCTTTTTATATTAAAAAACAAGGTAAACATTCATATGCCTTTTCTTAAAGGTTTGGGAAAACACAGTAAAAAGGTTCCTGCTTTGCCAAAGAAATTTTACCCTCAAAGATGAGGCAGTTATGGCACCAGTGTTGGGAAATAGTGGAAGTAAACAGCAGCCCTAATCCTTCACATGTGCTTGCCTTCCCTATGAAACAGTATTATATT